GACTGTATAAAAATGTTCATGAGATTTTCCAGGATTGACAATGAGGAATTTCATCTAGAACATTTGATTTTGGACAGAGATTAGATATTGTAAAATGACATTTGATAGTTTTATCTGCAAGGCCTTTTTGGGTAAGCAAGGTTTGAAGATTATGGTCTTATATGTGGAAATAAAACCTCTTAATATTAGCATGTTATGGATAAGAGAACCTCAAGATTATCGAGATTTTCTTTAACTAAAAATGGATATCATCTGAAAAAAAAATCAGCTTCTCAATATACACGAGGTATCATCATCCATTTCTTCATCCAAGAACCTTACTTCGCTATGTAAGAAGATTGTTTCTCTCTCTAAAAGAAACCCATCTTTCCCATAAATAATCGAACTAGTGCACACATAGAGAGAGAAAATAGGGAAAAAAAGATAAAATAGGAAAAGTGTAGAGAGAGTTTTCTTGTTAATATTTATCTTTTTTGGTTTCCCTTCACTGTAAAAGGGTGGTAGATGAGTTAATAAAATTTGGTCTCGTGAAAAGATTATTTTGGGGTAGGGTGGATTCCCTTTCAGATCTTGAGAGAGGGTATATTGTCTTGAGGTGAATTTCCTTGGAGACTTTGATAGAGGGTATATTCTCTCAACTTTTTATTATTATTATTTTTCTTGTTTTATTTTCTCATTTTACATTAATTGGTATCAGAGCAAGTCATATCCTGAGAGCAAGTTAGATCTAAGCAATCAAGCTAGCAAGTTAGATCTAAGCACTCAAGTTAATCCTACTACTGCTATGGATTATCGTATGGTATAAAATTTTACTAAAGCCCTAAAGGATTTTTGAACTGAAGTACGTGAGATGAATCAGAGGTTGCTGCGGTTGGAGAATAATCTTCCTCGTAAAGAATGTACTCACAACCACATTCATCTTGCACCAGTAATTCCACGACAAATTCAATGTGTTGATTTCAAGCATATTGAAAAAGTTTACAAGTCAGATCCGCCGTGTTCTATAGAGAAGCCAGATCCGCCATGTCTTATAGAACGACCACGAATTTTTGACATTAAAATTGATCTCCCAAAATTTCATGGTCAAGCGCGTTCATCGATTGAACTTGGTGTTTTTTTGGAGTTGTACCCATTCTTGGTTAGGAATAATCAGCCCAAGCTCGTATTCAACAATTACTCACTCTTGGAACACAGTTGCAGGCATCAGTCTTGAAGAAAAGGTATCGAGGCTAAGCATCAGTCTTGAAGAAAAAGTATCGAGGCTCATGGTGGGACTTCATCACCAACTTTTGAGCTTGAGGTCGAGCTTCTCCTAACCCGGGGAGAATGACGCAAATAATATTAGGGTTATTCTAATTTTTATTATTCTTTAGTTTATCTCTTCAGGAATAGGAGAAGAGGTGCGCATAGATATTTGGGGCATTGAGTTTGTGTGTGAGTTGATATTTATGGATTTGGGTTACTTAGTTTGTAATATAAATGGATAAGGTTAAATTAGGCGAGCTAGTTTAGGAATGTAAAAGGATAAGGTTAAATAAAAAGTAGTTTTTAGGCTTTGGATAAAGGGATGGTACATGAGGTTAAGGGAAGAGAGAGAAAATAAGGAAGAAGAGATAAAATAGGAAAAGTGTAGAGAGATTTTTCTTGTTAATATTTATGTTATTTTTTAGTCTATTTAAAGGGATGTTTTCCTTCCTTGTAAAAGGGTGGTATATGAGCTAATAAAATTTGGTCTTGTGAAGCGATTATTTTAGAGTGGGGCGGATTCCCTCGCAGACCTTGAGAGAGGGTATATTCTCTCAACCTTGGGGTGAGTTCTCTTCCAGAACTTGAGAGAGGGCATATTCTCTCAACTTTTTATTTTTCTCCTTATGGTTTAAATTATAACAGAATATTGAAGTTATGATATATTCTCTCAACCTTGGGGTGAATTCCTTGGCAGATCTTGAGAGATGGTATATTCTCTCAACCTTTTATTTTTATTTTTTTCTGGTTTTATTTTTTTACATCAAAATTTAGCAAGAAAATGGAGTTCCAGTATCAGAATATTTACAATGGCTCCCCTTTTTTAATTGTTTTTTAGTTATATAACACCCCATTTTTTTAATAATACTAAGTAATCTTGTCAAAAAAATTTTACAATGGCTTGAAATTTTATGTTCAATACTAATTATGAAATTTAAAATTGAAAAAATAATGGCAGTTCAAGCAAATCTACAAATATTTAAAAATCTTGAAAGCGGACGGGCCAAATAGCTTGTTACAAGATGTATTTTTTTTATGACTTTTTTTTTTTTAGTATTTCTATAGAGAAGATCAATTGGAAGGTTTATCAATTTCGGGGCACTTCTGTTTATTGGATTTTTGAAGCGCACTGCACTTCAACCTTGCGTAAACTTTTTCGTATTTTGGAGCTTCTATATATTTACTAGATTGGATAAGAAGTGATAGAATTCAAAATGAATATATTTAAGAGAATTTAGGTGTGGCTCTAATAGGTGATAATATGAGAGAAATTAGATTTAGGTGGGCTCGACATGTATAGCCCAGACCCAATGCAACTCCTATTAAGATGTCCGAGTTGATTTGAGAGGCAATATCAAAAAGGAGAAATGATAGACCCAAAAAAATAAGGTTAGAGGTTGTGAAAAAAGATACGTGGGCATAAGGATATAAATTTTTATTTTAGGTGAGTCAAAGGGAAAAAGGCTTCTACTTGTGGTAGGAATTGAGCATAGGACATAGCATTGCAAATCATAAAGTGCTAACCAATTAAGCCTAGGCTCTTTTCCTTAATAGACCGTTTGGATACCCAGAAATATATTGTCTATGAAATATATTAATGACGTAATACATTATTGTGTAATACATTACCTGTTTGGGTAGTATTTAGATGCAACCTGAGGAATACATTGTTATTGTTTGGCTATCTTTCGAAGAAAAATAGGAAATGCATTAACAATAATTTACCAGCACGTGCCTATAAACTATCATTTCTTTCTTTTTTGTCACAAAATTCCACTAAAATGCAGAATTATCATTTATTTCTTTTTTATCACAAAATTTCACTAAAATGCAGAATTATAATTTCTTTTTTTTTGTCACAAAATTCTATTAAAATATGGAATTAAAATCATCATCACACCATCTAAAAAGATTTATAATAATAACATCATCGCCATTCTAATTTTTTTATCTAATAATAACTTGTATCATTTTACAATCATCATGATGTCATTTCCTACTTATTTTACATGGAATCATATGTCTTCTGACATGACATTGGTTTAAACATGATAAGTCATTGGAACAATATGATTGGAATAATATTATTTTATTATGATAAGCGTTATTTTTATTTATTTTTTATAAAAATCTTTCAAATGTCTCTCTATATAATTTCAAATAAACAATAATTTATGATACTAAATTCAAAATTTCTATGGTACGAATTAAAAAATGAGAAGAAGTTTGATCAGTAAACTAAATGGTTTGATAATTGCAGTATAAAATTTTGAGGTATTAGAAGAGACTAAAGAGGTATGTTATTTCAATTGAGATTTTAGTAATCTCTTATGAGGATTATGCTGTGTGAATTTTTTTATTAGGATTGTGTTGTGTAATTTATCGTTAATTATTAATTTTTATTTTTATTATTTTTGTTTTTATATGATAGCTGATGCCATTAGATAAAAAGGATGAGCTTAAAAAGAGAGGGTTCACCTAGTTATTATGGAGAGAGAGTAGAGAGAGGGCATACGAGAGAAGATTTTTTTAATGAGGGAGAGGTTATGAAGAGAGAGAATTTACGAGATTTTTTTTATCAAGGATAGAGTAAGCAAAAATGCAGGCTGACTGATTTTCCAAAATTACCCTTCTCATAATAGATTTTTCACCTATCATTACGCATAATGAATTTTTTGATTTTTGGAGAAATCTGGCGTAATCTATTTCTATTTCCTTATATCAAAACAGTGAAAATGCCTTATTTCATTATAATCTATTATAACAGATTTCCATGTACCCAAATCGCACCTAAGGCTACGACCCTTGATAGACCATATTGACACATGAGGATTCGTATAAGGACCTTAATTGAGAAAAAACTCTAATGATGATTTGTGAGCACTATTGGAAAAATCGAGCAAACTCTAATGATGATTCGCTAGCATTGTTGAAAAAATCGAGCGATTAACCGCCTGGTTAGATTGGAACCAACCATTGGCTATTCTGATTTTGGACAGTCTTGGTGATCGGTCGGTATTTTAAAAAAATTCAAAAAAATGTATATAAATTTAAAAAAATAAGGAATTTGGTTTGTAAGGTACTTTTTAATATTATTTACAATATGATAAAAATTTAAAATTATTTTGGCCATTAATACTCACTTTTTTGTTTTTTCATCTTTTTCATAATATTTTAAAAATACCTTTGGACACAAATTAATTATTTAAAATCTAATTTTTTCATTAATTTTCAAATTCATTTGAAAGTGTTTTATTTTAATATTTTTATATATTTTTTATTTTCTTCAACCTTTTTTGGATCTCTCAACACTGGACCGATCAGAATGGTTGAATCAACGGAATTACGGATTATGCCGATTTTGCGAACACGGGTCGTAAGAGTACGATGGGCCACCAAAAATCTGGCCTTTTTACCGGTAAATAACGATGCGGACAAAAAAAAAAAAGAAGCGAAATGGTTGACTTGGCATTAGGGAAAATGACAAGGTTCTTCTAAGACACGTGGGAAAGGCGAACAAAAACCACAGGGGGTTGCCGCGTCTTTCTCGAATGAAATCGTTAAGAGAGAAAATAAAAAGCACAAGACACAACAAAAACAGTGGCATCGTGTATTCTATGCACGGTGGCGCCGTCCCTTACCATCAAATCTGACCTGGCGTCAACACCGGGCCCCACGTGCGTAATAATGCGTGCCCCACTATTCCTCCCTCTCTCTCTCTCTCTCTCTCTCTCACTACCTATAATTACAATTTTGGATTCCGAATCCATTAGTCGCCGGAGGGAGATTCTGTCTCTCTGGAAGCAAAACCAGTGTTCCTCTCTCTCTAAAAGAAAGCAAAACCAGTGCTTCTCTCACTTAAGAATCTCTCTCTCCTGAGTTCTCTTTTATCTCATTGAATACCATTTCTCTGTCCTTTTACCATTCTTACTCTCCTACTCTCTTTGTACACTTTCTCTCTGTCACATAACAATTGTTGATCAATCTGTGTTCTCTGAATTCTTCCCAATTTGGGCTCTTTCTCTCTCTACACTCAATAATGGTGAATCAATCAGTCTGTGCCAGAATTTCGCTCTCTCTCTCCTTAGAATTAGGATCCTGAACCGACCTGGACCAGACCCTGTCCATCCAAAAATAGGATACTGAATAATTCCCTGCCTTCTCTCTCTACGTCCTCACTCAGAAGCAGTAGCATCCTCAATTCTCAACGCTGAAAAGATCACTGGATTCTCTCTCTGAAAGAGCTCCAAAGAATTTCCTTGTAAAGGCCTTGTATGTCTCTGTAAATCATATTGGAATGTTTCCCTAGAACCTTGTTTTCCTGATCGGCTGTCTATCTCTCTCATCAATGTCTACTTGTTACAGTCGATCGGTGGCCTCGAAGCCCTTTGATCCTGTGATCCCCCAGAGACTCCTTAATCTCCGTCCTTCCTTTTCGTTTCATCTTTCTGACCTTCACAGCCATCGGATCTCCCTGCCATTGGTTTGTTCTCCATTATCGTGGCTCAATTGCTCGGAGAAGAAGGGGATTTTAAATCCATGGTCTACATGTAGGTTTACAAATGGGAGATTTGACAGGGTTTTAGGGTTTAGCGCATTGGAAGGGAGGATTGGGGATTTGCAGAGAGAGAGGAGTAGGAAATTGGAGGTGGTGATAGGCGCTTGTGTGACTATGATGTTTGGTGTTGCGAATAGAGTTCTGTATAAGATGGCTCTTATTCCATTGAAGCAGTATCCCTTCTTTCTTGCTCAGATTGCAACTTTTGGGTAATCTCTCTTTTTTTACAATGCTCTGATTCACTTTTTTTTCTTTTCAGTTTTCCGGTGCCAGTGCTTTTCTAACTGGTTTTACTAGTTTTTATGTTTGGGTTGAAAAGTTGAAATTATAGTTTCCATTTTGTTTGACTTTGGTAATTATAATTGTTGCGGCCTAAATTTGTCATTTACATGGTAATGCTTGAAAATCTCTTTTACACACACACCTGCCTCTAGATGCTTTTGGGCATTTGATGGAAATATTATGAGAATCTTGTTAGTCTATAAGTCTCGACACTTTATACTTGGAGCTATAAAGCAAGCTCTACTTTACTCAAATGCACCCCAAAAAGTAACATTCATGGTCTTAGGCCAATTTGTTGTGCTGTGAAAATTCCATCTTGATGTGATTAAGAGTGAATTACAGATTAAGTTGTTCTACTGGAAATTTATGAAAAAAATGCTCAGAGCACGAAAGAGTATTTGATAAAGATCTGGGAGTGGGATACAACCAGTGAAGCTTTCATTTACTCGTTTCGGGCACGGAACTCCCAAAAAAGGGCTAAGAAATAGAAAAAATAAAATTTCTGTTAAATTTAAATTATAAACAACATTTAAATTCCAAAAACAAGATGGAAAAAAGTATATAGATAAAGAATTTGGAAAAAATGATTTATGGTTGGAAAGAATTTGGGAATCCAAAAAAGAGGAAAATATTAAAATATAACATATGATAAGAAAATCTCACAAAGTCATCGTCAAAACATCAAAATTATATATATAATGTTTATACATTGATTCGGTAAAAAATAATAATTTTGATATTTTTTAAATTCTTTTTATGGAACCAAGTTTGTACCTTTGAACTCGGCTCAGCAAGGTGCTGAGTCCAAATACATTGGCCGAGTCCGAATTGACTCTAGGCCTCTAGGGCATATTGGCCTTATCTTTTGCTCGATCACGAATTTTATTATATAATGAATGCTTTGTTGTGCATAGAAAATGTATGCCATTGTTGTAGCCTTCTAGGGCCCTTCTCCTGACCACAAAAAAATGAATTCAGTACTTGGCTGAATTTGGAGTACTTTTCTGCTACACTTCCTTATTTGCAGTTCCGCTCTTTATTGAGAGTTTAAAGGATAATGCTTTGTTGGCTGCTCATTTCTGAGTATTGTTGATTGTTGATTGTTGGTGGTTCATTTCTTTAGGGTGAGGTATTTTTTATTGTTGTATGAATGGCTGAAGGTTGTCCAACCTTTTATATTAATTCTTAATTAGATGTAACTTTATGGAGGGCATTTCGATGTTTGAATTTTTTAACATGCATATGAGTGAGAGTTAAACTCTCATCAAGGTTTGCATTTTTGGGTTTTATAGCATGCATGTGCTGTAGGCTATTTCCTAACCTGGCATTATTGGCAGAGAGAAACTGCTTCTAGTAAATATCACATGGTGAAGATGCAAGTGTTGGGACCTTATGAAGAGTTACAATTGATGCTTTTAATCAATTTCATTGAGCCATGACATTTCAAGGACATGGTTTCTATGAGTCCATGTAGAAATGAGTCACCTCTTAAAAATCTATTTCTAGATGGATTTTTGGATTTAATTTTGGAAAATGTTTGCATAAGATTGCAACCTTAAAATGTTGAATTACAGATGCACCACAAAAATCCATCGGAAAAGGTTGTTTTAATGTTGAAGAAACTTCTAATTGATCATCTCGACATCCAGATGTATGAATATGAAAAAACTATATTTTGAGTCCCAGAAATAGTGCATATTGCAATACATTATCTAAACCGTCTATTTTCAAGATTTTCAAATGTTTATAGATGTACTTGATTTTAACCATTTTTGAAGTTTAAAATTTTATAATTGGATATGAAAATTGATTTTGACATAATCTTAAGAATTTTTTTCACCAAAATTTCATGTTATGATAAAATTTGGAGGTGCGCCTTAATTGGATTGTTTAAGGTTGCAACCTATAGAAACCACACCCTTGAACTTTTAAGGATATGTAATCTCTAACATGGAGATCATGAATATGAAAAAATAAATATATTTTAAAAATTAGAAATAATATTTCTATTAAGAAAACATTTGGACCATTAGTTTCAATTGTTTTTCGATGAACCACCTATTTCCATCCTTCTTTAAGATGGATGCTTTATACTTTGGGACCGCATATTGTAGAAATGCAGTCCAGCCGGCATGAAAGGATTTTCCACATTTCAATTCACAATGCAATATATAAAGCTAGAACTACTTGTGATAATTTTCATTGAGCCATGACATTTCATTTTTAAATGCGATCTTTATAACTAAGACTAACATATGGAGGATGATTTTCATGGCCTCATTTTTGTTGTATAAAGCGTCCTCACATTTGAGTTTAAATTGTAGCATCCAATGTAGTTTGTTTTGTGGACTTATTTCATATATGTCCTCTTCTTCCATATTTTTTGTAGTTCTATCGTATTAATTTCCTTGGGTGTTAATTTTTTTTAGGTATGTGGCGATATATTTTACCATTTTGCATTTCCGCTATCATGCTGGAATTGTTACTGATGAGATGCTTGCACTACCAAAGTCTCGCCTGTTTGCTGTTGGTTTCCTTGAGGCTCTTGCTGCTGCTTCAGGAATGGCAGCTGGAGGTTGACTTTTTGTCTCTGCTACTATTTTCTTGAACTTGGTTTGATAGGCCTGGAAACAGTTCAGTAATATGGCTTTGGCATGAGTATTAGTTTCCTGAAGTTGAGAGGTTACTAAAGGTGCTCGACCATCATTCATAGGGAGATAAGGGAATTTCCTATAAAATTCATGTGATCAATATTTTACTAGTTGCTTGCTAATATCCACAGATTGGAGATGAAATCTACCTGATGAACTTGAAAGCAGTCAACAATCTCTAGAAAGTAAATTGTTTTGATAACACTTTTTAGGACTTATAGGTGTAAGAATTTTATTTCTCCATTATAAGTATTACATATCGCCTTCAATCAAATTAATGGGATTTTTTTAACTCCTTTTTGGTTCTTGTATGACAAACTGTTGCTTCTATCATCAAGTAACTTTACTTATTGGAATTGATAAAAAGAAAAAGAATACCATTTTTCTTGGGACATAATTCAACAACCTATGCACCACAGAACAAGTATCAAAGTCAACCGTATCGACACTGGCATCATGGGACAGGGTTTAGCAACTTGCCTTTGACCCTTATATGGCCATTTGAGTAGCAGACACTGCAAAGCTACTTTTGGAAATGTAAATTCTTGGAAGTGAAACCGGAATGAGGGAAAAAAATTTAGAGGAAAAGGAAAAAGATGAAGTAGTGTCAAACTTGAGAAGTGAACTCCTAAGTTTTTAACATGATAATTATAGATTTTGGAGAGAGATAATATATGGAGGTTAAGAAAAGGCCTCACACAATTATAGCTGCTATGGCAATTAATGTTGTAGTGGCTTTGATAAGGCCTTTTAAAACCATAATTGGCTTTTTATATGTTTTCTTACTTCCGTGTTTTTCTTATCTAAATGTGGAGTACAAATGAACACTGCACACTGCTGCTATCAAACCATATGGCATATAAACAAATTTAATTGTTTAATGTTTGTGTTCTAGATTACTTTTGAAATGCAATTCACAATTTTTTATCTTGTACTTGTTATCCCTATAGAGAATCTGACAAGTAATGTTTTGTTCTTTGAGAAAATTTATGTCAATTTACTTTAGGGTGCAATTTGTATAGAGCCGAGGCTCTAAACAATCAAAGTAAAGCACACCTTCTAATCATGTGAAGAAATGTGGTTTCAACACTTTGTGATAGCCTTAAAATATATTTTCATATTTAATTATCAAATTTAAGGCTTCAACAATAATGTAGATCGAGCAGATCTATTAAAACTTGAAAATCTTGAAAATTGAGGGTCCAAAAATGCGTTACAAGATGCACTATTTTCAAATTTTGAAATCCATTTTTTTCATGTCCATGCATCTTGATGTTGACGTGATCAATTTGAGGATATTTGGGCATCATAACAACCTCTTCTAGTGAAATTTTTGAGGTGGGGCTCTAATATGATTGTTTGGAGCCTCGGTTTTATATAAACTTTTTCCTTTACTTTAAGGAGAATTGTTTCATGTGGTGGGGACCACATTTCTACATTTGCGGTCCCTGAGGTATAAAGCATTCATCTTAAAGATGGATGCAAATAGGTGGTCCATCTAAAAACAATTGAAACTAATGGTCCAAATATTTTCCTAATAGAATTATTATTTCTAATTTTCAAAATTTATTTATTTTTTCATATTCATGATCTCCATGTTAGAAATTACACGTCCTTAAAAATGAAGTCCAAAAATCCATCTCAAAAATAGATATTTAAGAGGTGACTCATTTCTACATGGACTCATAGAAACCATGTCCTTACTTTAAAAATGTAAATTATGTGGGTGGGTGTGTGTGTGTGTGTGTGTGTACTCGCGTGCATCATAATTTGTTTTTATATTACAATGACTTTTAAGCTTAAAGAATAAACGAGTCTCCTGTTTGTATAACTGGCAGTGTTTCTATCCAATGATCTCAAATTGGTATAAGTGCTGATTTATGGATTCATCACAATTGCCCTTTATAAGTTGCTAATTTTTGTAGATATGATATATGATGCTGAATGACACGTTCCTTCTTTCTCTTCCTTGATGCAGCCATGCTTCCTGGTGCATCTATACCAATAATATCTCAGGTAACATGGTTTATCAATTTGAAATGGGAAACAGGTACTCATGCTCTAGCACATTAGATGACCACTGCATATATACACGTTCTTATATTTGTTTCGCCCCTTTGTCTATCTCATGTGATTGAACTTGGTTTTACACTTCGGTGTTTTCTTTGCAGACATTTTTGGTGTGGCAGCTTATCTTATCTACTATTTTCCTTAGAAGACGCTACAAAGTAAACCAACTATTGGGTTGCATTCTTGTGATTGTTGGTGTAATTACTACGGTTGCTAGGTAATTACTTTAACATCCTAAACTCTATTTTCAGTGACTTCACTGATCTAGAAGTGTCTTTTCAATGGAAGCTATTTGTTATGTATTTAAAATAAGAAAGGGTACTGAAGATGCACAATCCCTAAACATGACCTTGAAAAAATCCTTCTCCTTCATGTCTCCATGATTGAATCTATATTTACTGATCATATGGTCTATGAGTTAAAACTTACTAGTTATGCGAAACATCTTGTCAGCTTCTAAGAAGAATGATCAACCTGAATTTTAAAACAAGTTACGGAGTCTCCACTGGATAATCTACGTTTGAGCTATGTCCATATACACCATGCATTCCATTAAGTACACACTGGATGATTATTAATCTGCCATTGGACTTTCTTTCTCTGCCTTATAGCCTCACTGATGGCTCTTTGAAATACAAAAAGCAACTTTCAAAGCCAATTTAGAAGTGAAGTCATGGTTTCTACTGCATGCAATGAGAGTTTTATTGGCAAATATGCACACTTATTACCATGTTCTTTTTGACGGTATGTACCTGACTTCAGGAAAGTATTTGCTTAAGGAAGCCATTGCCATATATTCCTTTGCCCTCATTGTATTGTCTGGTGATCTCCTTTTAGTATGCTAGTATAATATTTGGAGTAATGTAGCTGGTGCCATTGCTAGATTATTGGGGGGAATTGGGCCCTTTCAGTAAACAACTGAGTCGCACTTTTTTACGCCTAATGTTTATTTTATTTATTTTATGATAAATCATTGTTCTGTTGCCGAGTATACTGATTGTTGGAAAAGAGAATCGTTTGGTCATTTGATTTTCCTTATGCAGTGGATCTAGTGCTGGTCAGTCCATTAAAGAAACTGGAATTTTTTGGACGCTTCTGATGGTTGCATCATATCTTTTCCAAGCTGCTGACACTGTCTTGAAGGTCCATACTACTATAAATATTTCTTCTGAATTATTCAATTACTTGTCTACTATGAGTTTCTGAAACTTTGTAATCAAAACTAATATTGTTTGCAGGAAATAATTTTTTTGGATTCTGTCCACCAACTAAAGGTTTGTGATCTCGTTACTTTTCCTAATAAACTGGCAATATCTTCTCTATTTTGCCATGCAGTTTTTCTGGTTGATAGATGCTTATGTCCTGTCTAAGTGACATTACATTTGATTAAGCATTTATAGTTAATGAAGACAAGTTGTGAGAATATTTTGAAAACATAATCTCAGTATCAGATCATTATATTTTAAAGGTTCAATATGGAAAGTATCATTGTGTGTTGCCATTGCAGGGAAGATCCATCGATCTGTTTGTCGTGAACTCTTACGGATCTGCATTCCAAGTAGGTTCGCAACTGTAATACAATGTGCAAAAAATACTCAATTTTGGTTATGGAACTTGGTTTAGTAGTACTTTGCTTACATAATTGATCTTCTGAAAACTAGTATTCTGTTGTTATACATACATTTACAGGCATTGTTTCTTTGCCTTTCATTCCCATTTTTATCAAACCTGTGGGGAGTTCCATTTCATCAACTGATGAGCTACTTGAGAGATGGAGCTGCTTGCTTTATAAACATTGGATCTTCTGCAACTGGTATGTTCTTGTTCTTCTTCTAGCAATAGTTTTTACTTATAAAAATTATTAGTTAGATTTTATCATATTTTAAGCATTATTTAATCCAATATCTCTGTTTAAGGGAGTTTTCACAGTTGGGGCGATATCATTGTTCAACAATTCTTGATATTTCCTTAGTAGCTTTGGTTTTTTCCAGACAACTACAATCATTTGGAGTATTGAAACTTTACAAGCTCAATATCGAATGGTTTATATATATTGAAGGATGATTCAGGAAGTATGTCATCACTTCAAATTCTTAATTGTCATTCCTTAGGGGCCTCAAGAAAACAAAAAGTATTGCTGTACCCAGGAGAAAAGAAGTCCCTCTATACATCCATTCTTCTCATCTTCGAGTTGTTTCTTCATAAAGGTTTTTGACAGTCCTTATCTAGAAAAAACTTGCAAGTAAAGCAAAAAATGATCATCAAATCCATTATAATGTTCCTAAAGTCCTCCATTCAATTGGAGAAGCAATTTCTTGATGGTACTGTTGGCCATATATTAAGGGATTGACTACAATGAGACAGTTTCACATAGAAATCGCAATCACCCAAGCTGTCAGATGTAAAATCTGGCAGCTGAGGTATGTCATTTCTCCTCAAAATCTCACTTCAACATTTATTGGATTTTGAATGCAGTCAACAGTACACACCTTCAACCATACGATTTATACATGTCGTGTGATCTTTCTGTGTGAAAGAGAAATGGTCCCCCTGTATGCTTTCCCAATTGTCAATGAGACGACAACTGTACAAGGTTTAATCTAAGCCTTGTTGTGTACAGCTGACACGATTGTTTCCAGCAAGTAAATATTCTAGTTGACATATTCATCGACCTTGCTCTGTTATTCAGCATTTAGTTATTGGACACATATTTGAAAGCTCTTTGTGAAAAAAATGTATGGAGAGGTTTGGAAATTTCTTTAAAGTCTGTAAGTTTTGAAATTTGAAGTCCTTTCCATGCCTATTGGTGATAGTGCATTTGGCCAATCTTGCTTGTATTGAAGGTTCAGGAGTTGAGATCAAATCTTTCCCTTAGTCCTTCAACTTTTTGGACCTTTATCTTCCAACTTATTTGGTAATCAACAAATCCCTGGGCAACCTCTTGGATTTCTCCCATATATCTACACATCCATATGATTGAAAATTCCCAAGTCGATAACATAGCTGAATCAGTTTAATGGTTGTGCAAGTTGATTCTAAGTCTCTAGTTGGCTAATATGGTGTCAAAGACTAATATTGGAAGCATCTAATGTGATGCTAGCTTACATGTGTGTTTTATTACTTTATTGTTAACATATGTTAATCTTCTATTATTTTATATAACTATAGTATTATATTACTCCCGTGTATATTATTTAATGAATACAGAACTGTGTTTTTATTTTTGTTTTTTAACAATTTTTATCTTTTTTTTATATTTCCTTTTTTCTCTTTTTACATAAAAGATGTGTACTTGTGAGTAAAAAATGTATTTCTTATGTCTCATTTTCGATGCTTTAGTAACGTCTTATCAAAATGGTACCGTGCCTTGCCGCACATTTCACTACCTTGATTTGCATCGCATTCTTTTGTGTTATTGACATTGATTGAGGTGAAAGATGTGTTTTCCCTATCTTGTCACATTCCATCCTTTCAGTTTTCCCATTTATCCATTGTGTGACCTCTGCATTCCCACAATGTTTATCCAAGTATTCCATATGATTTTGTGCTTCTCTTGATTTCGGTAGACTTTTTCATGCATGTTCTTATGTGCTTCTCCCTTGGTTTTCTGAATGCAAGTGCAGTGGATTATGTCGTGATATGAAAATAATTCTTTTCTGGTTTCGAGAAATTATTTCCCTCGATGTTCTTACCTTTATAATCACACACAATTTCTTGTCAAAGTAAGAGCAAGATAGTAAACTCTATTCTATTGGGAGAAACAGAATTTTATCTTGTGCAATGGATCTGCCAATTCCTATGGAGGTCTGGGATCTATCCCCACTGTCAATCTAACTTTTAGCAGATGGCTGTGGAGGCTGGAACTGATTTATTTGGGGTTGCAGAGAAAGGTTAGAGAAGTAACATAAGGCAAGCAGGGCTATCTTAAGACACGATTTCAACTGCAGATATCTGTGGTGCCTAATTGGCCTTTGGTTTGAAATTTCATCGATTTGGCCCATGGATTTCTTTCTTTTCTGTTTTGGGGAAGTGAATGAAGGGAACCTTTATGTAGTTCCTTCCATTAGAGGTAAGAAGTTCCCAATTGAGATAGAATGGAATAAGAGGTTCATATCAGTTTTGATGAAGTGAAAGATTTTGAAGGGAACTTATGTGAGGTGAGATGTCCTCCATTGGGTTACAATTGAATGAGAGTTTCTTTGAAAAGGGTCTTTTTGTTGTTTTTGGTAGTCACTTCAGGAGAATAGAGGATATGAAATATTGAGTAAGCTTCATTTTTTAGGTGTCATTACCAAGATACTTTTGATGGCTGCTTTGGTATGAGCTTGTTCCATTCATTGCTTTTGGTGAAGGTAGAAGACGTATAGTTATTTCAAAGTGGAACTATCAAATTCCAGCTTATTAGACTCCTTTGCATACCCTTGTCTAAGAAAATCTTGATACTTGGGTTGGTCCTAGATCCATGGACATCCAGTTTTTTCATTTTGCTTTTGGTGAAGATCGAAGACTTTTTCTGTTTCACAGTGGAACTACCAAATTCCAGCTTATTAGGCACCTTTGCTCTCCTGTGTCCTAGAGCCATGGAATCTGGTTCTTCATTTGATCGTGATGTATAAATTGAAAAGGGATTGGGCATCTTTCCATTGCTAATGGTTTGACCTCTCTGTAGTCATGTTGTGTTTAATGGGTGTTCTCTCTGTTCGTGAGGTAGCTGTTGGTTCATTGCCAACTGGGGCTTTGAATGCAATGGTTCAGTGCATTTGTCATATGCACCTGCCTACTTTGTGACACCAATAAAAGGAGAGCAATATCTAGTTTTTGAGGGGATCTGGGAGTTTGTGGTGTGTCTCCAGCAAATTCATTTTTCTGTAGGCTCTGATTGGTAATTGAGAAAACTGTTTTCCTAGAGAATATCTGATAAACTGGAAGCCTCAGAAAAAGGTAGGAGTAGAAAATTTGTCGTTGGAAGCTGAGAACCCTCGTTTGCTAACCTGTTTGTGAAAACTGGAGAAATCTCGGGCGAGAGCTTGGGCAAAGAGAGATTGAGAGGGGAGAGAGATCATGAGGTTATAGAAAGATTAAAAGGGGGACAATGGGGGTCTCGCGTTTCCCCCCTTTTATTGAGAAATTGGCATCGTTGCGGTTTTCCCTAAAATTGCGGAAAAGTTTGGAAACATGGAGAAATTCGGGGCTCCTTGTTTCCATACTCTTTCCCATTCCTAAATAGGGGAAAGCGTGGTAACTAAGAAAGCAGGTCGATTTCTCTTGTTTTCTTAGTTAAAAGAGCCTAAGAGATTTTTATGATTTTATCGTAAAGGTTTTCGGGGATTGCTTAATTGCTTGATGCTGGGAGTTAAAGCTGGGGTCTTTTTAGAAGGGATTGGTTTTGTTTCAATAAGGCATCTGGTCTTTGCCTTCATTTTAAATTGGCACTGTTATTTATTTCCGTTCTGCAGATTTTGGATTCTTTTTTGTCCCAGCATATAGGCCTTGCACTCTGGTGAGGATAAACGTTTTTTTAGATGTGCACCTTGAAAGGTAACCGAACCTTTATTTATTTATTTTAATTTTTGTTTTACCCAACCAATGTAGAACTTACCATATTTATGAGTTAGGTGACTAAAGCAAAGTTATTGCAGAAATCTTCAGAATTTCATTAATCTTATACTGTGTGTGTGTTGTTTTTTATTTTTTGAATGTTCGTTCATCTTATCATCTTATGCAGTCCAGACTCTCGTTCAGTTTCTTTTAGCTCATAATATTTTAGCTTATGATGTCATTACGTCTTATTGCTAATGAGGTCCATGCAGATGGGATCAGACATACTCTTAATTCTTTTTTGGATTGGTAAATGATTATGTTTGGAACTCTTGATGTTACATTGAGGTTCACTGCCCTGATTACCAAGCCAAGTGCCCCAAACTGCATTTAAATTCCATCATTTGTCATGAGAATGACGGTTTATGCCCCACCTATCTATGATTGACCTTTCACTGGATGTCTATGGTGTAGTTTCCATTTCCGTATACTCTTTCAGAGTAAGTAGATGTTGCTTGGGATGGATGGCCCATATATTCTGATGGTCATTACTAAAATCACTGGGTTGATAAAGTTAGCACCACAGCTCCCTGTTGGACTTTTAATTGTGACCAACTGAATTGTTTTCTCCCATGTTAGTGGTAATTGGTTGCTGACTTTTCTTTGGGAAATGAATCTTTGTAGGATGTGAAGGTGCACCTCTACTACCGGTGCTGTTCGTGATCACGAACATGGGCTTCAACATTTCAATGTTGCATCTCCTAAAGCTCTCTTCTGCAGTGGTCTCGTGTCTTGCTGCCACTTTTGCAGGTATTTATGATACATTCTCCTTGTCTGCCAGTTTTAGGAAAGTTTACTTGAATCCTGTGGACTATGGAAAACAATAGTCTTTAGGAGTTCTCATGGTCATCTGATAAAAATATGAATGTTAACCCAAATTGGGACCCATGATAAGAAGATATGTATCCTGTACTTTCTTCTGTCTTGGATGGCCATGACTCCTATGGACTATGATTTTCCTCAGTCCATTCGACTATAGTAGACCACCCCTTGTATTTTCTTTGGATCCCATGTTCATTGCTCACTGATCTCTGATCTGTCTCTCTCTAGTGCCACTTTCCATTTATGCGTTTACGCTCCCCCTGCCGTACATTGGTGCTCCAAGCACGTTACCGCCTGGCTTCATATTAGGCGCCACCGTCCTTGTAGCGGGCCTGCTTGTGTACTGCTTGCCACCATCCCTGGGTGCCACGTCCAAGCAATCGTGAAGTAGGAACCATCGGATTCGAAAGCATTTGCTCAGTTGCCATACAGTGCTCAGGCAAAAAGCCACATGGTGTTGTGAAATGAAGGTGGTGGTATCACATGGCATAAATATAAGGCAATAAGGGCCTTGAAATGGATGGCCCAAGGGAAAAGGCTTGGAATCGATGGTCCAGAATGTGTTCTTTTAATCTGGGCCATCTGATCCAAATAATGCTTTCTTGTAAACTATCAATCCAAATAAGGTATTGGGTTATCCTAACTGTGGTTTTGGCTCGTGCCTCAATAGGAAGAACGGTGATTTAAAAATCGTCGGCCCAGATTGGAATTGCCAATCTAGCCCAGGAATCATCAGGGACTGTCTTGGTCCCCTGAGGGTACTGGATGGTTCCTCTAAAACCAACTGGTTCTTTGACAGAATTAACAGCTACTATCAGGATTTTATTTTTTTATTTTTTTTTAAATATTTTTGTATTGGCCGATTCTCTCGGCAAGATGGCTTATCAGGACGAGTTTCCCTGATGGCCAGTACACCTGACCTATCCAGGTTTTTAAACATTGCCTTAAAACCATTAAAGTTTAGCCGGAATTGCTAGACCACAGATATTGGCCTTCTCATGGTTTCTACAGCTGGGGTCTTTATGCAACCCACTACAAAATTTATCCCATTGCTTACGTCAAAGGCTGCAAACCTGGTCCCCGATGTGCATGATCCAAATTTTCTAGTAATCTGGCTTAAGGACGTCATCCAGGTAAATAACAACAAAAATCCATTGGAAAGTAGTAGGGACGAGATTTTTGCTGCGTCGTTTCTTTAAGCAACTCATTATGTATGATGTTGCACAGTTTTCACCCAAGGGTTGAGATGTGTTACCTGAATATAGTTCAGTTTATGGAGATGATTAGGATAGGTGGTCTTGTGGGAAGGCCATCCTTGCGATCATAAGAATAAGAGCCATCTAAATAATGGAAGTAGAAGTATACCTCTTGTTGAATGCCACATAATTTAGGTAGCCTTAGGAAGAAGAGCAGGGGAACCCTGTTTTTTTTTGGGGACAATACTCCAAACTTTTATTAATAATGAAAGATCTACAACAATGATATAGACTCCTCAGAGACTAACAGCAAAGAAGTATCAGCACCCCTCTTAGCTAAAATATCAGCTTAACACGTTAGATTAGCTAAAATATCAGCTTAACACATTCTATAAATATGTTGAAAGGAAATCCTCAAATACAAATCTATAATACGTTGCTGATAGGGTGCACGTATTATTCCTTATTACACCATTTAAGCATTTAAGGAGTCACCCTCCACTATACAAAAATGTCCTACAAGCTTCACACCCTATAAAAGGAAGGCTAATTCAATAATGATTGGCCGTAGTAATCCTATACGGTCCAGCATAACAAAAAAATAACACTTCCATTCTAATCACTCACCACGGCCCCTATGTCAGCTGGACTTGAATTTCTGAAAGAACTATCATCAAAATTGAGCTTATAACAACCTTTTATAAGAGGTTCTTATCTAGCCTTGGGTCGAAATTTCATCATCCCCATTTTGACCAGACTACATAGATTCAAGATAACATCAATCTTTGACAAGGCCCGTCTTTCCTTGGTAATCGACATATGTTTAAATGTCATTCAAAAACGTGTCCAAAGGCAAATATTTGCTTTTAAAAGTTTGACGGTTTCTCTCCTTCAACAATTCCTATAAAATTCCCCCTAAGGATTTTCCATATAACCTGGCTTACCTTAGGCAGACCTGGCAAAGAAAAATGAGTGGGGATGTTCATCACATTATAGGGTGTCAGTAATACAATTCTTGACTACCGGAAGCTTCAAGTTTAAATCTCAAAAACAAAGGAACAATGCAAGAAAATATGCGACCCAAATTCTCCATCTTTCTAACCCATAATACAAATATTGGGCAAAGCCTTACTTCTCTTAAATGAATTATCAATCGTGAGGATTTTATCTTGCATGACTAGTCAGATAAATGCTTGAACTTTATGAAAGATATGCCATTTCTAGATTTGAGGAAGTTGAGGTTGAGATCATCACCAACGATCACGAAAATATAATCTAGATGCTGATTTTACTGTAAATTGCCCATCGTTCTCCACCTTGCAAATAACATCATCACTCGTAGTATTAGAAAGTACATAGGCTCCAACCATTGCACGAGATTAACATACTGGTTGTAGACTCCATCATGTATTCTGTTGTAAATAAAATTTACATTCCAAACCGCTCGGTTACTCAAACTCTCGACCAACTTTGTAATTTTGGCTTGCAGATGAAACATTTTATCAAATAGATCAGGAAATGATATTTTAAATGGTCTATCCCCCAATTACTTGTTATGCCAAAAGGAAACACGATCATCCATACCTACTATCCATCGGATATACCTGTCAACCAGAGGTTTACGCTAGAAAATAACGTTCTACATATTTAAAAGGCTTAGGTTTCCTCTACCTCTTCCAATCGACTGACCCTGCCTATCCATCCCATACTTAGGCACTAAAAACCTTTGCCATAATTGATCCTGAAAATGAATACTTATCCACAACCATTTACAAAGCAAAGCTTTATTAACCAGAAAAACTTACCTAATGCCCAGACCATCCTCACTTTTAAATGTACAAACTTTATTCCACCTTAGCAAGTGATATCTCCTATCCTCCCAAAAAGAAAATATGAATCATCCACTCAATCCTGTTAGCAACCACACTAGGCATCTGTAAAATTAACATTTGATAAATAAGAACATTTGCCAAACAAGATTTTATTAGCGTGATCTTACCCCCAAGGATAGATACTTTGGTTTCCATAGATCCAACTTAAACTAGACCCATTGTACTACTTGTCCCAAGCAGAGTATGATAACCTTGAATTAGAAATAAGTAGACCATGGTAGGTGATGGGGAAGAAGACAACCCTACAATCAAAACTCTAAGCCAACGTTTCCACCACAACTTCATTTCATCCTACCCCAATCAAATAGGTCTTTCCAAAATTCACCTTCAAATCCATATACATTTCACTGCATGTGATAAATCTACAAATACTAGTTACTTGAAATAGATTAGCCATGTAGAAAATAAGAGTTTCATCTACATATTACAAATGCGATACATTAGGTCCACCCTGAGCAACCTTGAAAATTACCCATTTCTTCTACATTATATAACACAAGGCTAAAACAAAATCATACAAAGTAAACAAAAATGGTGAAAGAGGATCCCCTTATTTCAATCTGCTAGATGTCTTGAAGAAACCTTTTGAGTTCCCATTGACCAAGATAGAAAAATGAGCAGATGATAGGATGCATGAATCTATTGTGTTCATTTCGAACCAAATCCTAATCGAAGCATAATTTCTTAGCGAACAATCCATTCAACCATGTCATAAGCCTTTGCTATATATAGGTTAATAACCACCTCAAGTTCTCTACTCAAGAGTCTAGTTTGAATGACACTATCAGTGATAAGTCTGTCTTATATATATGTTGATTATGGTCTTGAAAAAAAACTAGAAGAACCATCTTGAGCTACTTAGCTAGTAATTTCACAACAATTTTATAAAGATTGGTGAGTAAGCTTATGGGTCTAATATCACTTATACATACTATGACGGTCTTCTTAGGGATCAACGAGATATAGGTGGAATTGATCCCTTTAAAAAGCTCCCCCCATGGCATGAAATCCTTAACCATTTCCAATAGCTCCTCAATAACCATACTCTAAAGCCTTTGAAAGAAGAAAAGAGGAAAGCTATTAAGTCTAGGAGCATTATCTTCAGGAAGAGAAAAAACTATTGTTTTCAACTAGGATAATGTGACATCAGCTTCAAGTTGTCCAACTATTTGTATAGTAAAATCCTAAATGGTACCCCCCTCATTCTCGACACATAAAGAAGATCAAAAGTGAGTGCTTTAAGAAAATGATTAACAATATTGTTTTCCCAACCAACACTATCATTTTCATTGACACTAGGAATAGAAAGGCCACAAATATCATTATGTCATCTTCTAACACTAGCAATAGTATAAACAAATTTAGTATTCAAATCCCCCTCAAGCGACTGTACCCTAAATCTCTGTTTCTAGTAGACCTCTCCTGAAGTATTACTAACATAGTATTCCTCTCCACACTTTGAGAACCCAGACTCTTGAATGCTATGGTCTTGTAACTGAATATTCAATAATGTGCTATCAATTTTAGACTTTGATGATATCTATTCTACACTTTCTAGGTTATCAATTTATGCTTAATATTAAGGAATCTTTTGTGAAGTTGAAAATCCATATTTCCCAAAGATAGTATTGGCCCAAGTGTTTTTTGTTACTCGAACCACATATTTTCCTCTAACCAGCCAACTCCATTTTGGAAGGTCTAAACACCC